CAACCAGCAAGTCCATGGTCATAATGCCCTGTGACAGCGCACTTCCTCACGCAATTTTTAATGCAGCCTACTCGACCTTACGGGATTCGTATCCAAAGAGTCGCCTCATCCAATGGCGCACGGTAGTTTCGGGGATGTATGGAAATGCACCTACATCGCATCCAACCGTCAAGGCCTGGAGGCAAGCATGCTACACATATGGCTGTCCAGCAATCTAAATCCATGACAGGTAGCAGTCAAATCCATAAGGATCGATATCGTAGGCGACGATTCCAGAGCCAGACTCACTCAAGTATGTTCTCAGCTTCCCCTTGGCATGTGGTACGCTTGCTCAAACCCCATGTCTTTGCAGAGACTCTTGGATGATTTTCATGCACGGAAGCAACTGCGTCACGAAAATATTTTGTCTCTGCTCGGTTTCAGTTACGATTTTGGCCTACTTCCAGCAATGGTTTTCCCCTGGATACACAACGGCTCGCTCACCACATATCTTGAACACCATTTCACAGAATTGACCATCGAACAAAAGCTCCGGATCGTGAGTTGTTTCTCAGGAGCGCTCGTATATCATGGTATTCATTAGAACCTTAGTTGCGGCAAGTCGCTGCAGCCATCAGCTACCGTGTGTGGAATTCTCAATAGTTTGTAAGAATAATGAGTAACAACATTGCAGTCCACTCGAAGGGTGTTGTTCACGGTGACCTTACTGCCGTACGTGATAGTTATCTGATATCCACGTTCTAGCTCTGATCTGGAACGGCAGAACAATATTCTGATAGATTTGGACCACAATGCCCACGTAGCAGACCATGGAATCCTCGCAATGTGTTCCGAGCTCTCAGGGACTTCATACATCAGGAGCAACGTGCGGTGGGCTGCGCCAGAGCTCTTCAAGGTGCCCGAGAACGAAGAGTTATCAACTCCTCCACAGCCAGCCAGCGATATTTATTCCTTTGGATGCATCATGCTTCAGGTTTGAGGCATTCCATAGTAGTTACGTTGGTTTGCGACTAAGATCCCGTAGGTTATGACAGGTCGACCACCCTATGCAGATGTGCGAAGCGATCATCAAGTTACTGTCCTGATACTCAAGGGTAAGAAGCCCACAAGACCGTCGAGTCCGCACGACGTAGACTCTTTCTGGAGTTCCATCGAGAAATGCTGGAGTGATGCAGGACGTCGCCCCTCTGCCGTCGATATTCTGAGCTTTCTAGGATCAGATCATGCCACTGCGCTAGAAAGAGCTAATTAGGGAGTTATTAGAGCGTTTTTGCTAGGTGATTTATCAAGGATTTCATTAACTTACGGCTTGTCAATTTTACACTTAACTAGAACAAGTGGAGCGCAGAGAAATAACTTATAACTTGCCGAATTTTTCAGTGACGATTCTGACGAACTAGAACTGGTGTGGTATTGAAGTCCGAGCTCGATCCCAACCCCCGGGCCCCAGCCCTCACTAGCGCATACTATGACGATGCGCATAAATGTCGGATACCACTTGTCTGTATAGTATGACGTGCTTGCGTCGTTTCACATCGTAAGTCACTTAGCGAAAACGCTCTATTATGTAAGTATATGAGTAATAGCTCGAATTTCTTTACCAGGAAGTCACTTCTACTTACCTCAACTTTCATCCACTCAGCATTTGTACTTAATACGTGAGTGTTAATGAACATGGATAGGTTTATTGGGCGATGCTGATTTTTCTTGACCAGTTACCCGAGGAAACAATTGGTGCCTCCTGGGAGCTCCTAGGACCACGGGGAGCCTGGAAGGCAGGCAGACGTCTCTTCAGCCATCTCTTGCCACAGTAAACCTTGTGCACCAGCCAATCACCTTCTCTATCCGCTGCGTAGTATTAGTAACCAGTGTTAAACAATGACTCTGAAACTTCCCTTGGAGAGGTAATCATCCATGATGAAGGTACGTACCAATTAGCATTAGTTTTGCATGCTGCAAACGTTCAATTTAGGTTTACGTGTGAAGTCTTCAGGGTTTGTCACATTTCCAGCTGTGTAGATGTCGTGCCACTCATGAGCTAAAGATCGTGTTTTACACAACAGTCACGAGACGCGGTCTTGTCATTCAAGCGCGAAAGATGGCTGCAAACATTGGTGATTTAAATGTACGTACGAAGGAAAGCATTTAGGACCGATCAAGGCGGAAAACTGACCAGTTCATGAGTCTGGCAGCAGAATCAATGCTGGATGATCGAATTAAGCAAGATTCAGAAATACGAAACCTCGCCCTCACCTGTCATGATATGAAGACAATTGTACCAGTTGTGATGGCAGTTTACCCAAGCCAGGCAACCTTACATCCCCAGTTTGTTCTGTATCCTGGAGCATGAAGATGATTCGGAGTCACATTGCATGAAACCTCGCGATTTCAATATGGCCCGGTTGCCAATTTCGTTGATGGACACAGGCCGTTGCGGCGTGTCTCCACCTCAAACCTTGACATACGTGGGTACGTTTCTTTCGGACCCTGTGTGAGCGTTAGAGATGCCTCGCAGGCCTTGTGCAGGCCCCATTAATATAGGAACAGATAAGTGGTTTGAAAACTATTGGTGCAGGCGAAATGGGACGGATCGATTCGGTGCAACCGTTTGCTTTTCCCAACTGAGACTGAAAGGGCTCTCACTGAACGGCTGACTGGTGTGAACTATGTTTTGTAACCTGGTGAAGTTTGAACTATTATAATATCGCCAGTCGAACATTCTTGAAGTTCTATCTCTTCGCCTCGAGGTTTGTCTTTTAGTAACTAACAAGGGCGCTGAAAGCAGATATTGCCTCGTGCAGTTACTGCCCTTTTCAGCAAACGCCAGTGTTATTCATATCCCTGACCGCACTGTTCAAGATATCTCATTGTCTGCCGCCCATCATAAGCACTAGTAGGTTTCCCGCTCGACTCCTGTAGGTACTGAAATGGGCGTTTTGTAGTGGGAGGACAACCTCCATTCTCGATCTGATTCATCCACAATATTAAGTACTTCGACTAATACCAGTCGTGGTGTCCTCGTTTGATCCTACGCACTGGCAGTTTTCTTTCCACGTAATTATCGGTGGGGCAGTAACTTTGGCGATGTTGTCGCACAATGTTGTCTGCATATAAGATGCAGTTTATTAATGCTAAGGAATAGGACTGTTTCTCACTGTGACTTCCCGCCGACAATGAACGTGCTCAACCGCTTGCAACAGTTATTTGGTCTTGTACGTTTGTCGACATTGTCCAGTCGTGGAGCCATCCATTCATCTCACTCTGACAGGTTGGTCGTGCATCTGGTCGCCAAGCATCCCCTGTTCAGATTGTGGTTGATGGTATTCCCTCAAGCCCGTCCCCGATTGTCGACACTTCCGATGATCAATTTTCCAATGGACGCTTCCCTAGTACGTCTGACTCAGAGACTCGTATGTCGTTTCTTTGCCTCAGAGAAGGACTTTGTAAACATTGACCAGTAGTAGTGTTCTCTGTATCAAACCAAGTGATATCCTCAGGCAAACCAGCTACCCAACTGCCTCGGGTGGTCTTGGAGATGTTTACAAGTGTATATGGAACTGCGGCGCAAGTTCGTATGAGGTATTTCATAAACTTACTTTTTCTGCATACCCTTATTGTGACTTCAGGTCGCGGTCAAATCCCCACGATTCCCAAACCTGAGTAATCGTGAATATGTTAAAATCAACAAGGTATATTGGGGTCTAGTCTGACGACCGCATATTTAAACTTTGGAGATGCAGAACCTTGACCGCGAGACAACTATATGGGCTGCGTTGGAGCACCAATATGTATTGCCCTTGTATGGCACTGTAGAGCAGTTCGGCCCATTTCGCGCATTGGTTTCCCCCTGGATGCTGAACGGGACTTTAAACTCTTACCTTAATGCCCATGAGACCCTCTCGATGGTCGATAGGCTTCTGCTGGTGAGTTTCATTCACGAAGCTGAATGGGGAAACTTACTACATGTGCAATAGCTTAAACAGATTACCGAGGGGCTCCAGTATCGTGAGTGATGGATTGACTATGGAAGTGACCGATATAATTATGTTGTCTGCAGTCCACGACCGCGACGTGATACACGGTGACCTCACCGACGTAAGTTCATACGTGTCATGCAAGTGGAGTCATCTTATAGTGATCGTAGAATAATGTTCTGGTCGCTGCCGATGGATCCCCTCGTCTTGCAGATTTCGGCATCTCAAATATCTTGGTGCAAACCAACCCCGCCTTTTCCTACCACATCGGTGCAGTACGTTGGGTCGCTCCAGAGCTCCTTGACCCCCCGGAAGATGAGCCTACACAATGTGCAACTAAATCTACCGACATATATGCTCTCGGCGGTATCATGCTTCAGGCTCGTAGTCTCTCGTTGGCTTGCTAGTGACACTAATATCACCTGTGTGCAGGTCCTGTATGGGAAACAGCCTTACTGCTGGCTGAAGACCGCCATACATATTATTTCTGCTAAGTTCAGACACATAGAGCCCATCGACTCCTCCATCGGGATCCAACCTAATCACCTGGATTTCATGCGGCGGTGCTGGTCAACGGCAAAGGAGGGTCGTCCGTCAGTAGAAGAAGTGATAAATTATCTTCAAGAAGCACTGTCGTCACTGTCAAATGAGACTTCGTCTGTATAGGGTCTTAGTTCTGAAGCCACCCTCTTTCTCGTCTAATTAATGTTAACTCCAGTTGTGTATCCTATTACTATATATCATTTTGCGCTATGTATTACTCCAGGCTCCTTCCCAGCCCCCCATCCGAGTGTTAAACGTTCTGAGGGGTAATATATGAGAGGGTACTGTTTGATAAGTCAAATGATACAAGAAAAATTCAAACCCAACCCTTCCTCACTGAAGGCTGGAAGATAAAATTTGTGAACAGAGGTCAGCCACAGTTCTCTAAAACGAGTCAGTGCGAGAACTAGCGCTGGGTAGAGACCCCCCCCCCAGTCGTGCTCGTTAGTGAGGCAATACGCCCAATCACGCTATTAATCGCGGCTTGTAACATGACTCGGTTAAGTCGTGAATTCTGACGCGATTCACTGGTTGTATCTGTGACTCTGCAAGTTCCAAAAGTAAAGTTGATATTTAAAGGGCACTTTCTAGTATAGGGAGATCTACCCAGTATGAGCGACCCTTGTATCCGCGCTATGAAGGAAACTGATTCCCATTCATGTCAATCGATGACAATGAACCTCACATGAGAATATTATATGTTCAGAGTACTAATGTCGAAAAATGAATTGTGATTAGCAAGAGCATTCATAGAGGTTGATGACGTACATGCATTAATATCGTAGTGCATCATAGACCATCATCATCGAGAGGGAATGAGTAAGGAAATCAATTTCTTATGCTGCTGCTGCAACCAACGCTGCCGATGGGTTCAGTTAAAGTAAGCTTCTCAAGAGCATCCTCGAACTGGTCATCGTCGCTGTTGTCACTTTCCTCCTCATCCTCTTCGCTTTCCTGTGATGCAGACCCCTCATCATCTGGAGATTCGTCCTCAAAATCAAGCTGTTGTTCATGTTAGTGCATCTCACTGAAGAAGATCCACGTAACGTACTGGATCATAGACACTCTGATGATTAGACTGCAGCTCGGACACGTTGCGATGTCCTCGCAGTTGGTGAGCTGCTTGGAGAGATCTCGAAGCGGTCACCACAGGGGCAGGGATAATGGTAGACACCTTTTGCCTCATCCCATGCCATATCTTCGATTTCGATCTCGTCGTAGTAAGCCCCCATATTGATTCATGAAGGGTTGCTAGATGTGTATAGCCGCCAGCTGCGAATGGTCGACTCACTTGTGTCCGTGGCACGTGCAAACTTCAAAGTGTGATCCGGATTCCGTCTTTAGAAGTGTTGTTTGTAGTAGTCACGTGATATCACTCCCCAAGTGCTGGACCTTATCTCAGTCTGGTGTTTTTCGACTCATTTCGTGTGTTTCACAAAAATGGGCGAGCACCGGACCTCGACGAAGGCTTGACGTCTGACATTCATTCACTCATGGACAGTTCTTCCTCTCAA